TATGCGCTAGTATGTGGTTCACTTATCTGATGATATATCTCGAAAAAGTTCTCAAATTCCGAAGTTCACGGGCAGGATTATTGATGTTGATTGGACAAGTGAGTGTCCAGTGCTTTTCGATATGAAATCGCACTAAAAATGAAATCTTTTAGGTAACAGATGCTGTGTCCACTCCTATTATTGGTATTGCTAGCGATTCAAGTGTATTGCCAAAAATCTTTGATAAAATTGGTCGGAGAATGTCGTGGCATATAATAGGTTTGTGAAACATGAAGTCAAGGCTCGGCTCTTGAATATCTGTTTTTGCATTGTTCAGGTACTATCTTTGTATCTATTTCATTCCCCTTCATATTCAATCGCTGCTTATTCTGTTCGGAGGATCAATCTGAGTGGTTGAAGGTTCTATGGTTTATTCCTTTCATTATGGTTTTCCAATTTGGATGGGCGTCGGTGCAGGTAAACTCTGCTTTTTCATTGTAACTTGCAAATCCAGTGGAATTTCTTACATAGACCTCACATCTAGCGCTAATACCGGAACTATCTTCACTTGATAGTAGTCGAACTACGATGAACTCACTAAGGTACGTTCGAGTCTATAATTTCTTGATCTTTATTTCATATATCTTAGTTTTAGATATTCATTCACTGTTGTAGCAAATCTCTCAGTGTTTCTTGTTCTTGCTCGGTTTTTGTCTGAAAATACGCATCAGTCGCAAATCGGACCCGCTGATTTTCAGCATTTCCGGGTTGGTACAAGTCATTTTTTGAAGATAGCACTTTCATGTGAGGATCTCAGACTGCTGGTTTTCTGGTCGTAGCAGGAGGACTGGCAGTCACTATGCTGTTCTACCTGCTTGTTCGTGAACCTAAATTTGGAAGGAGATTGAGGTAATTCGCTTGTGTATTATCTACTCGTTATCCTTGATATTTTTAGTCGTGCCCATTCCTTTTCATCCGATGCAAGTGAGCTTGTAAGAATGCACTGGACAAGCTGGTTTGGCCATATACAGTTTTACCAGGTACTGACTTTTTGTGCGAGACTTTGTTTTGATATTTTTTCCGAAACCAATCTGCAGATTGCTCTTCTGTACATGTTATCTCGCTTATACGTCAATATATCACAAGTTTACTTTCCGTTTTATATAACACTGACACAGAATTATGAGAAGGTGGGTGCAACCCGCTTATTCTAGAATGTACAGAAGTCAGTCATTATGTTTTCTAGAAATATGTCGCTATATTCCCTATGGTCTCCTATCTTTCATCGTTTCTGGTGTCAT